CTGATGAAGGGATGTCTTGAAAAACTGACATTGTTTTTTATTTATATAATAATAAAATGTAAATCAAACAAAAAACACTGAAAGCAATCTTATTACCTAGTTTTACAGATTACAAAATATAGGAAGACCACCTATTAATCAGCCTTGACCTTTAAATATCAAATGACTTGGACAAAATATAACTAGGTAAACTATATGTTATAAAAACAATCCAAAATGGGAGACCAAGTTGAATCGTTATGCACGAAATCAATGGCAAATAAATGCTTTCTTTCAAATAAGTTTCTGTATAAGTTTGTAGTGCAAAAATTCACTATAATAATATAATATAATAATAATAGCTAACCATTCGTATTCGAGGATACCCGTCTACGAGGGCGGCCATCCAATCCCTATTGCAGACTCTCGCTCAGGCGCATTTGTGTTTGTTCAAGACCCACAGAGCCAACCTATGGTTTATACTGCAACTATGCTGAGCAGACTTTAGTTACAGTTTCTGGGAGAGAGCGTGTTATCTAGAATGATCAACAATTTGAACTTCACCCGTAGTACACTCAAACCCTCGGTCACGATGACTTGTGACTTTGTGCTAGCACAGATATCGACGGACCAAAATGCTACGTCTGCCCAATTTCACATACAAGGCTTGGGTAAAAAAAAAAATACTGCGTATGTTAACATTTTTAAAACAATCTCTGTAGCGTAAGCTGCCATCAATTTTTTCTGTCAACCGAAATTACTGAAATACGTGACCTTCTTCTATTGATACACGGTTGATGTTCCTAGGCCCATTGAAGGTACTTTCCTAATTAAATATTGTTTAGTATAGGTATTCTGATTAGGTTGTGGCTATACACCCCCATACGCAACAGAGATCGTTGTAATATTTATACATTCCTTATTTCACCTTGATTAAAGTTACCAACTATTTTTGCCACAGTAGCCTTTTTGGTGAAGCATACTTGTCAGGAAATCCCTGTTCTCTTTTCGCATAGATAAATATTGTTCGTCTAATGTTGGTATTTTTCCCTCCTTGGGCCACTGCTGATAGGTATTCACTATAACTGAATATGGCTATCCCACAAGCAGTGCTTTTTTTTCTTTTTTTTAGAAATGAACTGGTCTTGTTTTCTATAATAAGTTGGCCTTTGTTGAAATCACACAAAACTTTCTTCTTGTCTCCAATTGCAATATTACACGAGACCTTTTTACATCATTATATGCCACTGATCCTGATATGCATAGCTCTTACGAGACAGTAGCTGTCATTCCTGCTGAAATCACAGTTCATTAGTGCATATATATATATATATATATATATATATATATATATATATATATATATATATATATATATACGTGTAATAATCGTGGGCATATATGTGTGCATATATATTAATAAATGAATGAATATGTATGAGGGTGTGCATAAAAATACGTACAATATGTAAGTAAAGTTGGGTGAGAATCCGATTGAATGAGAAATGTAAAAGTCAGTTTGGGGAAAGACAACCGAATAAAACTGTACCAGTGACAATTTGTTAGGACAATTTGTTAGGCATAAGATTAAAGTGGAAGAAATTGTTGTGCTTTCTGTTCGTTAATAATTTTTTCCGAAAGTAACGTGTATGTGTGTTTGTTACAGCTCTCCATGTTTCTTCACAAATTGATCACGTGAGTACGGGTGGGGGGTTACTATCTGCCTCAGATTTTGCTCATCCCAAAACTGCCCATTGACCACCTCCTTCATTTACAAATGTTAGGAATAATCCGGATGTCAACAAAATATATCCATTGTTCAAAAACCAGATGCCAACTTGTTGATAGCCAAGACTATATTGTAAATCTTTCTGGTTAAGATTTTTAGTGTAAATCTTTCTGGTTAAGTATTTTTTATTGTAAATCTTTCTGGTTAAGATTTTTATTGTAAATCTTTCTGGTTAAGATTTTTATTGTAAATCTTTCTGGTTAAGTATTTTTATTGTAAATCTTTCTGGTTAAGTATTTTTATTGTAAATCTTTCTGGTTAAGTATTTTTATTGGTTAATATTTTTGGTTAAATATTTTTATTGTAAATCTTTCTGGTTAAGTATTTTTATTGTAAATCTTTCTGGTTAAGTATTTTTATTGTAAATCTTTCTGGTTAAGAATTTTATTGTAAATCTTTCTGGTTAAGTATTTTTATTGTAAATCTTTCTGGTTAAGATTTTTATTGTAAGAAAGTAAATATTTTGGGTGAATATTGTTTATTTTGGTCCTCAGATAATTTCTAGTAACAAGTTTTAAGCATTTTAAGCTCAACCATCCTAAAACACTAAGGCTGAAGCAGGCGAATTTGGGGATTTATTTGGCTGAGGATTGTTTAATACGTCTTATCCTGTTATCTATTGGTTCAAACCGTAGCAGTCCATCTCTTCCTGTCTGTTTTAATTTATAGCAATTAATTAAAATCTTTAAATAGTTTTCTTTTTGATAATTGATCTCACTCTCCTCTTCAGATTTATTTGATAACTTTTCTCCTGAAACCACGTACAAAAACCCAATATCATATTACTTATTACTTAATTCAATGGCTTCCTTGCAAATGAAGATTTTAAATTTACTACATACAGTTATGTTTTGACCATTGTTACTTTTATGTAATGAATTTATTTACAAGAGTATGTGAATAAGTCCGTAGCCTGACACATAGTTATTAGCTGAACTTTAATCTGCAAAGTTTCACTGTATAATGTTCTGAATGAGTGATGTGAAAGCATCCCTGTATAATGTTCTGAATGAGTGATGTGAAAGTATCTTTGTATAATGTTCTAAATGAGTGATGTGAAAGTATCCCTGTATAATGTTCTGAATGAGTGATGTGAAAGTATCCCTGTATAATGTTCTGAATGAGCGATGTGAAAGTATCCCTGTATAATGTTCGGAATGAGTGGTGTGAAAGTTTCACTGTATAATGTTCGGAATGTGAAAATTTGTCTGTATAATATTTGATTAAGTAGTGAATTGAGTAGATGAACAACAAAGGATATTATGTTAAAAAATAAATTCTTGCAGCAAATTTCTTTTAGTAATTACGTTGGAGATTTATTGATAAATTTTTTTCTTTATTTTCGTAATGCACTTTTAATTGCAATAGCCGATTTCATCCAACGAGAAAAACAACTGAAGCGTTGTAAAATGTCAAACTGACCTAAAACTAGTTTTCTCTACCCTAAAAGTTGGTTGTTTTTTCTGGCTGCCTATGAAGCGAGATTAATAAGATTTTTTAATTAATTTTCTGAACTAACAGCTTATTTGTAAGAATAAGAGCGGTTTTCATATATGTAGGGTAGATTTTTCTATCCTTAAGTTTAAAATGCAAAGTGATTTACTCAATAATGATCTCAAATCATGAAAATAAGGATGCTGGAAATTCAGATATATAAATGAGAAGCTTTAAAATGTTTCATTTAAGAGAAAAGTTAAACGTGCTTGACTTAATAAAGAAAGAAAAAACGTGAGGTTTCTAAAATCGACAGTAAGAACGACTTTTCTCTCACTTACATAAGTTTTATTACAATATATTCTGATAATTATCCTATTTTATTATTCGTCATTGTTGCTAACATTTTTTTTGTGTGATAGGTACGTATAGGAAAAACAGTACATATACAGTTCGGTATTTTTTTAGCTTCAAGCCACGGTTGCGGGTCTAGGAACATATTTCTCGTGAATAAATGACGACTATATAGCTTGAAAAACATTTTAATTAACTTTTAACTCTCTTGCTACCAACAGATGGGCGTTTATATTTCATTGTTTTTTTTTCTATGATTTAAAAAATAAATTAAAACGCGATATTCTGGGAAGCACGTAATGGATAAAGATTCGGATTGAAAAATCCGAGAGCCAAGTTCGTATTCCAGTCGAGTTCCTTAAATTCACTTACGAGTTAATAACCTTGGAGAAGGTATGCATTCATAACCCCTAGCTATAGGCAAATAGCAGGGCAAATTGAACCATATAGTCTTGTTTGGCAACGATTTTTGGAGAATGAAAACTCTGAATTCTACCAAACTGGAGAGGGTTGGGTTGTCTTACCCAGGAAAGACCACTGTGGCTGCAGTATATATGGTACGCCTACGACCATAAGGGGTTACGGGATTCGTGATTTGTGATCGTGATTTAATGCTACTGAAAGGAGGTGAACGTGTCTTTAAGAAAGAATAACAAATAAAACAAGAATTCTTCTTGTGCCGTGTACCTTCAGGACGTAAGCGATCATGGTCTCCTATCTCTTGTAGCCCTTAGCAGCATTTATCCTTTTGCTAGTCCACCTGCACCCATTCTTCCATCCATTCACACAAGCTCATCATGTAAGTAGCCAGTTGTCTTCCCTTGGTTTATTTTTTTTGCCTTCGATACATCCTATAAGTATTAGATTTTCCAAGCCATCCTTCCTCATTACGGGTTCAAGAAATTCTAGCTGTCTTTATCTCATTCTGAGTATATATCCCAGGAAAGCGTCTGTGATTTTTTGTGTCTGCCATACATTTGATCAAGATTCTACCCCTAAAATTCTTCGCCTGTCCTAAATGTATGTTTTCGACAATGTTGTAAAGAGTGAACCTCGCTGTAAAAAATAAAAAAAATAAGTGATCTTTTTCTTACCATTCTTCTTAAAACTTTCTCATTATCAGCACCGATCTGTAGAAGCAAATTTCTGTTGGCTCCAGTTTTCTCTTTATAAGACTACATTAAATAAAAGACATTACACAGGTCAGTAGAGTTTTACATGCTTCTATAAATTAATAGAAAAACTAATATAAAGATTACAAAAAAGACGTCAGAGATATTATTTTCATCTTTCCTTGTTATTTTTTTTCACTGTTCTCGTATATAGTGAGAGTGTAAAACTTAATTTGGTTCATCAGAAGAACAAATGAATAGTAGAAAGAGCGTATTGCGCCATTCTTACAAATGGGGAGACTTTGTCTACATGTCTTGAAAATCAGTATCACGTTGAAACAACTGTTTTCGTACGATCACCGAAGTTAAATAACATCGAGCCTGGACAGTACCTAGATGGATTACTGCTTGGGAATATCAGGTGCTGTAAGCTCGGATGTGCGGGTGGTGTTATGGATAACGGCTCGGAATTGAAAATCTGAGAGATGAGTTCTAATTCCAGTCGGGTTCGTTATATTTATTTACGCGTGAATACCCTTGGGAAAGGTTTGAATTCTCATCTTCTCTCCCCATCTATGGGTTAATTAGTAGGACTTGTATCAATAAATCATTATTATCTCCAAAGAATTCTTACAATCTAAAATATTTTCAAGCTTCAAATAACATGCAAAGGGTTGATAAGCCGTAAAAACAAATCAATTAATTAAACAAACGAACTTCTATTTTTTTGATGAGCTAGAATAATGCTCACTGGAATCAATGGAAAACACGCAATTATTTCCAGAATCGAGGTGGGTATATATAACTTAATCTATCACAATGTTAAATGAATGGAGATGGGGGGGGATGATGTTACGTTAATCTTACAAGTGGGCGAGTTTGCCTTTAAAATCTGCGCTGAAACTTTCGATTTTTACGTGACTTTGAAGACCACCCACTGACGCATTTGAGAAAAGTTCAAAGGGGTTTTGTTAAGTCTTTTTGCTTATGATGTAAATATAAGTTGTTTAGTCAGAAACAAAGAAGAAACTGAAGAGAAAAATCAAATAAAAACTCATAACCCAAATCTAAAAAACTTTATTGTAAATAAAAAAAAACTTAGTTCCAAAAATACACAAAAATATAAAACAAATGAATAAATGTAACATATAAATAAAAAAAAGATAAATACATAGATAAATAAACTATCTTGAAGTCATGACCAGAAATAAAGCCTAAAATAAGCCATAAATAAAAAATAATGGTATAGATTGGTTTCCTGCTTTCCCTAGTGAATTAAATGCAGTGTTTTAGTGAGTTTAATTGTCATTTGATGCTATATACTTGCAGCCTTTTCTTTGTGCTATATTTTAAACTAACCAGAAATCATCTCACTTTGTAGAATTACATCTTCCGGTTTTTCTTTCAATATTTATTCTGTCGTCAATATTTAGTATATTAGCCATTACTTATATGTAGTGAGTTCATTTGATGCTCCATATTTGTAGCCCAGTGTCGACTTAGTGAATACCTATAGATTAAATTGATACCAAAGTTCCCAGTAGTAACTTTTGCTCACATTTGAGCAAATCGTTTTCATCTTCTTTTTTCGTTACTTGTGCAATCAGTCAACTGAAGTACATCGTTTACAATCCGGAGGAAAAATTCAGAAGCTAGAAAAACAGGATCAACATGAAATTCGAGAAATGAATCTCGGTCGACGTTTTTTTTTTCAGCACATATCTCTTTGAAGCTTAACGCGGGAAAAAGTCGCTTGCGAGCGAAAACAAAGGAAAATGTTTAGATGTTTAGATGTTCAACAGCCTTTAAACATGTCGCTACAAAAGTAATCTAGTGTAAAAAAATGTTCTTTTGCGTGTCTTATAGCGTTCAAATGGAAGCCTTTATCATGAATTGCTGAATAAACTGTTAATGTGCCATGATGCAGTAAGCACTTTTTAGTAACTTTTTTTTACAGTGATGTTCACCCTGAACAAGGCCCGGGAGCCACACGAGGCAGAAAGTTAAAGAATAAGAGGTACAGTTTATGCGGATATATTGGGGAAGATAACCTGTTCAAGTTTAGGGTTAACTGTTAAGATTGTAGTGGTCGGGAAAACCTCCTCTTGGGAGTCGGTTCCAGAAAGCAGCGGTTCGAGGGAAGAAGTTGCTCGTGTGGAACTTACATCTCACCAATGGAATACGAAGGGAACGAGGGCGGTTCGCTACAATGACATATTTTTCCCGTGATGGTTAGAATTAATGGAATTAAGGACTGTAATTCGTCTGAACACTTTCCCTGGAAATATCAATAGAACAGGGAGAGGCTTGCAACGTTTCGTCTTTGTGAGAGTGGGTTGTAGAGTGGAAAATAATTTGTTACCCACAAGGACGCGGAGACGCTTTTAACGAGATGGGAAAATAATAATAAAAAAAACTTTTGTCTTTTGCAGATTGACAACTTCTCGTCCTAAAGCTGCAAAACGATGAAGGATCTGAGACAAGGACACATGGCCCAGTCGATAAAGATGCTGGTTAGATCCAATGACTAGACCCAAAGAGTTCAATACCAGGCCACAGCAGTGGTGCACCAAAGACTTGGAGAGTTGAGTTAAAGGTAAATAACTGAGACAACCGGGAGAGGCATGGCACGTGGAACGAGAACAATCAACCCCGGTGGACGAAATAAAGGCTTCGGTTCGAAATTTCAGTTACCCGAAGAAGGTCGGAGCGCACAACGGTGAATATGGCAAAAGGTTGATGAGGATAACAGTCCGAATAATGCAAGTAATCGTAATACCTCATCTCAGATATATATATATATATATATATATATATATATATATATATATATATATATATAAGATGCACTCTCCTATAGTTTTAGAAGTATGAGGGTGCAACAGTTCAGCTCTAAGTACCGGCACATATGATTTGATTAGAGTGGTGCAGGCTCGTGCAGAACCAACCACAACTTTTGGAATAACTGAATATAGAGAAGTGGTGCACATAATGTGTCACGAAGCCCTCAAATAGTTCTCTCTAGATCAAGAGTCGGCAACCTAGGGCCCGCGGGCCGGATCCGGCCCGTGAAGGCATTTTGACCGGCCCGCGAGCCTGATTACCAATGACTCTATTTTTAACATGAGAGACGAGGCTTTCGAATTCGACAAAAGGCCTGCTGTTATGTCAGTGCACTAAAAATATTAGACTATTTGCCAGTTATAGTTCATGAGACTTATTTTACCAAGTTGCGTTGCCTACTTTTAATGTCAAATAATACATATTTGTTATGACCCTTAGCTACAGTAAAAGATAACAGAAGCGAAAGGAACGATAAAGTGAAAGAGGCCAGGGAGGGACTGACATAGCAGAAATCTAAAGACAGTTAAACATACGCGCATTATAGATACATGCCTCATGAATGTTGGATGATACCGTATGTGTACGTACGTAAGTGTATATGTGTGCAACTATTTGTACTCCTATGTATGGGTATATGTGCTTCGTTTTCGTTTGATGTGTGTGTGGTTCGTTTGTGGAACAATTTTCAATAACAGTTTCAAACCTACACGTCATAATTTCATCCATTTCACTTCAGTTGATTTTTTTAACTTTGAAGTATTTTGACGTTCCTTGAGGAAAAGTAATTTTTGTTATGTGTTTTTTAATTTTAGATTTTCTTTTGTTTTTCTGATTTCTCAATGTTTATTTTCATTATGGTTTTAAATATTTAGGTTGACAGGGGTCTGCATATATAATTTTCCTTAATTTTTCATTAATGGCCTTCGTCTAGCCTGCGACCCGTCATTATAACATGATCCGGGGTCGAATGAGTTGCTGACCCCTGTTCTAGGTTCTGAATACAGAGTTATTCTTCTTCAACCAAGGCTAAAGTACGTAGTCTGTCCTACTATTTAATTCATATCTGGAGGGTAAATAGATGGATTTGCGCTTAAGTGAATGTAACAAAATAACTCAAATGCGAACAAGGTTCTGCGTTTTCTCATTCGGAACCGCGATCCGTTACACACACACACACACACACACACACACACACACACACACACACACATATATATCTGTGTGTGCCTGTGTGTTTGCGTGTGTGAAATGATATATGATATGTAGATCCCAGTGCAAAAACCGTTTAAAAGCGATTATTATATAAAAGAAGAAACCAACCCTTAATAACATTAATTATGAACACGGCCACAATGTACTGGCCGTATTTAGAAATTCAAAATATATACACTTTCTGCAACTTTTATATCATCTACTACACCATTTAGCCACCATTTGTTATAGTAGTAGAAAAATATCTTTGAAAATGACTAACATTTTAGCCGAAAGCGCTCGGAGCCAGCACACGTTTCGGCAATTTTTACATTCATTAAGTTCAGAAAAAAGACACTTGTAAGTATACAAGAAAAACATAATAAAACACTAAAACAATACTGCCTTCTCAGTCTTGTTCAACGATATATATATATATATATATATATATATATATATATATATATATATATATATATATATATATATATATATAATTGTGTATTTAGGCAGCAATTCTTTTATGCACATTTCATTGAATACGACAGACAAGGTGCGTTTATTTAGTGTTTTATACAATTTCTCATGCGATCTAATATTTTTTTTCTTTTCAGATGATAAATTATATAAAAACTGTGCGAATGTTCTTTTTATCCGAGCGCTTTCGGCTATACATTTAGACATTTTCAAGGATCAAATATTTTAACCGTTAAATAAGAAATAGTTTCTTGCATGTATGTATTTATATAATGTTTTCATTTTTCAAAGCACGGTCAAGATATTGTGTCCATTTTCACAGTTAATACTATTAAGTGTTGTTTTTTATTTTTATTGATAAGGCTTTTCATTATTTTTAGCCATTTTGTTTGCGTGTAGACAATGCTATTATAGTTGTGTTATCAACAAATATGTTACGAATAGTGTCCGGTAGGTCTCCATGAATATTTAAATGAGATGTAATTGAGCTATGGTCAAAAAGGTGTAGAGTGAGTCTGCGTGTCAATATATATATATATATATATATATATATATATATATATATACTATTAAAATACTATTAAAGAAAAAATAACTACCTGACACCTTAATCAAGAGAAGATATCTAACAAGGAAAGAAAAAAGAAAATGACCTAAAGGAAAACACCTACCTACTCAGTAAAGAAAAGTGCTTAAAGCTTAGATAAACTTGACAGAGCAAAAGTCGCTTCATATACCCATGACTGTAACACGCCTACCTTAAATCACCACGAGAAAAATAAAACATAATAAGTTTACTTAAAAAACCGTGGATAGCCCCTCCCTCACGGGAGAAAAAGAAAATAATCAAAGAAAAATAACCGTGGGTGAGCCTAACTAGTCATGGTGGCTGTACTATAAACACCCCAACCAATATATA